TCCACAACCTGACAAGGAACAGGAATTAAGGCGGAATCACTCACTCTAAGTCTACAAAATCTTAATTATAAGTAACCCTGATGTATACTCTAAGTCATCACAGCTCACCTGCAAGGATCCTAAGTTTATATATAAGTGTTGTGATATGATTGAATGAGAGAGTATTTTAACTACTTTTAAATGACAGTAGTCTTAGCAAACATACCACGTACCATACAAACATACGATACTTAAATATTCTTGTTTTTGAAACACTCCCAAAAGTCCTAGTAAGGTTCCTTGTTGCTTCTACTAGTGTCACACCCCCAAATCGAGACGGCGGAAACGTTCGGGGGTAGAGGACGTCATGTACAATATCACAACAATTACATCATAGTAATCAAAGTAAGCACAACCATTACATTGAATATATATAAGGTATTTACATCTGTTTGATACATAGTTTGTATATAGCAAAAGTATAACAAAAGTATAAAAGAGGCGACTCTATAAGCTCCGTCTTCTCAAAAGCCTGCGGGCGTACCTGTCTACTGATTCCCTGAGAATACAAGCGATTTTGAAAGTGTATCAACATTTAAGTTGGTGAGTTCATAAGTATGTTTTTGTAATGAAAACCTGTCGTTGGAATTTGTGAAAATGTTTGTATGTTTCTCAAGAAAATCCAATATTTTATTTAGTATTGAAAAATAGTCTTAGCCCTAAGGCCCAAAATGTAAGTTTATTACTGTGCTCTGTGATGATATATGAAAATGTTAGTCTGTTTGCTCGGTTGCCATCAGGTATATTGTGTAGTGTGTTCTGTATGAAAACCCTGGCTACCACCAGTATGTATAGTAGTTTTATTACTTAAAATAAAATCATGTATTTGTATTCCCTAGAATCCTGCAGTGTAGTGCGTAGTAGTTCTATTAATTAAAATAAAACTAATGAAGAATGAAATCCCGTAAACATATGGTTAGTTTATAATGTTGTAAGTTTGGTAGAACCATGCTTGATATGACCTAGTGACCTCTACGACGTTCTTCAGGCGTCGGAACAATATGATATTTGTCACCCCAGGCATGCCTGCCTAACTGTAGCTAGCAGTTTAGGTGTGGGATTGTCAGTCCCGAATAGACCTATTCACAAATCGCACGCTCTCCCTCCATGAGACTCTGGTTATACTGTGGTAGGATTTAGTCCGCACCCAAAAGGGTACAATTGAAGTAGTGTCTCACAACCCTGTATTAACTAGTTTACGTGTAGTATTGTAGTGTTCTCTTGTTCTTGAACTGTATGGACACTTGTATAATAAAAATAATTATACTTAAATAATTATTTAGTAGTGTACTCTCGTGTTCAGAAAAATAGTATTGTAGCTTTGAATCCCAAACTATACCTATTATGGTTAACATGTATGTTATGTATTCAATTCACATATTGTCCTGGAAACTTTGCAATTATGGTTGTAAGTTGGAAAACTTCCCATATGCTCAACATGTTACAAAAGGGATACAATATATAAATATTTTATAAAATGCAATGATCTCTTGGTTGTATCAATTGCATAAGTTTTAATTATGTTGAAATCCTTTGGATAAGAACACAAAATTCTTTATGTTTGGCTTGTAGTACTCCCCCGCCCCCTTGAAAACGTTAAAAATAGTAAAAGCGTAGGGGTATGAATTCACAATTGATTATGTGCACGTGCTCGACAGCAAAACCGGAAGATCACCCTCGAGTTGGAGTATGCGGAATTAACGGTATCCTAATGATAATTAAACACATAATTGTATTTTAATTAGCGAAAACATTAATTATAGTGTTAGAAAATACTTGATTTTGGGTTAGGAATGTTACCGAGACTTGTTTGAAGTGGGAAAAGTGGGTTTTCAACCGAGGTTCACGGTTCAAGGCTGTTTGCGGTTGGGATCCTGGGTTTGCGGGCGTGAACTGGGTTTGCGGCTGTGAACGGTTTGCAGCTGTGAACGGTTTGCGGCTGTGAACAGGTTTGCAGGTGTTAACAGGTTTGCAGCCCTTGAAGATATGAAAGCTGTTCTTGGTGTTCTTGAGGAAAAACTTGAAGATTTGAAGATTTGATCTTGAAGATATGAATGTTCTTGAGAGGTTCTTGGGAGCAACTTGAGAGAGTTTTTGGGTGAAAAAGATGAAAAATAAAAAATCTCTCTGGGAAAAACCTTTATACAAGTCGGGTTTGCGGTTGGAATTGGGTTCTCGACGGTAAACGGGTTTACGTCCCCAGGGTTTGCGGCCTAAGGGTTTACGACCCAGGGGTTTACGGCCGTAAACGCATGGTTGAACGAGTTTCGCTGATTTTTCGAGGGAAAACTTGATTTTTCCAGCGATTTTGGTTCCGACAGTTATATAAATTTTATTTATACAGTTTAAATGATTTTCCAACCCTTATGAACTTAACGGAATACGCGAAATTCGGAAATTTATTTAACGGAAACTTGACTTTTGATGACTGAAAAGATTCGGGTTGTCACAATTGGTTCGATTGTTAAACTCCTCCTGCCCCTCCGTCATTCATCTCGATTGGACAGTCCCTCTTCAAGTGCCCTGTTTCACCATATAGATGGCATACTGGGCTCGTACTGGCATTGGTGGTCGAAGTGATGTGACGGGCCAGAGTCCTACAGAAACAGGCAGTGTGTCCCTTCCTGTTGCAGTTCTTGCAATGCATCTCCCTGCATATTCCCTTGTGATGGAAATTACACTTGTCACACTTCGGAAGTGTTCCAACATATCGACTGACAGGGGCTGGAGTGACAGAAGTAGTGGTGGATGTTGAGGCAGACGTTGTGACTGTTGTGGTGACTGGAGGGACAACCACGGGCTGTTGTCTCTTAGTGGGACCTTGAGTCGAGTATTTCCCTTTCTTGTTCCAAAATTTATGTTTCTTGTTCTTAGGTGTCCTGGTCGGTAGACACTTACTGGTGCCCTTGATTGTTACTGCGATTAGCATTACCGGCACCGCTTCAGCCTCCGCTGGCGTTGTTAGCATTAAATTGTGCCATAACGGTTGTTACGGCTGCTGTGACTACAGCTTGAAAAGTAGCGGAGTCTATCTGCAGAATTGGTGTCTCACCGGTTGGCTGATTTCCTCCTTGTGAAGACATGATTCTGTTGCATGGCGAGAAACGATCTCATGAGTAGCGATGATCGCACCCTATAGGTCTATGAAGAGGCATCTTTCAACCATAAGGTTCACAAGATGAAATGGTAATAAGTCTTTAGTAGGTGCTATAAGTCGAGTGTTATTTAAACTAATCTATCTTAGTTCCGAGTGTATTATGTTCTGACTTTTATAGTGTTCTGAAAACACTTCATAACAGATGTCTATATAAAGTAAACTTATGAATTAGTAGTGGCTACCCTCAAATGAATTTCCTGTGGATTGAATAATCGTTACTAGTTGCTACGAAAGGCGAGATAAACCTTACACACAGTGTGAGAAGTGTAATCACTAACTCACTAGGTTATATTGGTTTATTAAGTTTTGCTGCGACGTATACAGTGTTGGGTCTCTTCGCGTATCTCGTGAGTGGTTTCCCCTGTTCTATATCCTTACTGTGATTGTCCTAGTTTCGGTTAGTAGGGATTGGTTGTCTCTGAGCTTTCCCATAGTGTTCGTGTCCTCTACGGGTGTGTTGAATCTTTGCTATATCCCGCTGCAGGCTTTGTTACTGATCTCCATTAATTTCACAATGGAGGGTCGGACCCCGAATGTCCGAGTGAATTTCTTATGTCTAATCTCGCTATGGTAAGGTTCAGTAGTGATTACTCTGGTGCCTTTCTCTACGACTGGTCCCTTCTCAGAATCCTCCTCACGAACCTCTTCTTGTTCTTCCTTGACTCATCTGTTGGTTGTTGTTTTTGCGAGAATAGGAGTGTCTAAAGAATCTATGAGATTAAATAAAACAATTTTATCTTATGGGTGACCCTTACCGGGTCCTCCTATAATCACGCAGTGTATACAAGTTTTTTTTGAAAGAGCCAAAGCTCAACAAACTTTATTAAAAAGAAAAAAAGAATACAAGAACAACAAGGAACAAATCAACCTACAAAGTCTATAGTAATCCAACCTATCCATAACCAACTCCCTAACCATTTTTTAATAACCATAAAAAACCTAAATCTACCCCAATTGACCTTATTAACCCTAAGACTAGTCCACAGCCTTATTAAAGGTGGGAAAAAAAGGTAACTTCACCCCCTTGTAACACCATAACCATAAAACATCATTAAGACCAATGCAAGGGGAAAGGCCCTTAAAAAAACCCGCAGTCCAATAGACTAATCTTAAGAACCAACCCAACAAACCAAACACAATAGTCAAACTACTAATAAAGCATTATAAAAGAAAAAACAAATAACCCACAAATCAGCCCAATGAAAAAAAGACTCCCATAATGCCCTTAGTCCAGGATCTGCTGCCATTCTACCACACTTCAGTCCACCACCTATCATTGTTCAGCCACTTAGCTTGCACAATCAGAATGCACTTCCCCTTGATCCGCACCAACTGATTAACCTAATACCAGATATTAAGATTACAATCATCCGTGTGTCTCCAATTTAGCATCAACCCCCAAAAATAATCCCAATCATCAAAGTGATTAAATAGCTGATTGCTAATATACATCTTCATCTTCCACAGCAAATTAATCCTGCAAACCAAACACAAACCAAAACACAAAAATTCTCCAACAATCCACCTGGAAGTAACAACAAGTTTCATACTAGACATGGCATCAATCACATGTCTAGGATTCCCCATTTGAATAATCTCAAAAATGATCATATCCAAACAGAAAATCCCTCAGGTACAAGTCACAATATTTGAAAGCAAGCTTTCAAATAAGCAACAAAATCCGTCAATTCCTTTATTTATGAACCTGTTCCCAAAATACCCCCACCAGATCCCAATTAACACTCCCAAAAACCTCATTCTCAGCCCCACCCTGCACCACAAACAGAAAACACCTCCCAACTCTCTACTTATCAACATTTTTATACTCATCTTTACACCTTCTATCCCTTCCATGGATTCCCCAATTCTTATAATCTTTATCATTCACCATAATAGACTTTTTTCTCAACCCCAACAGCTTCAGCTGAACTTCTTTTTCAATACAGAAAATCACCTCCTTGTGTAATTTGCTAATATTACTAAAAAGTCTAGAATTTCTCTCCTTCCAAATATGAGCAACACAACTGGCCAACACAATTTTCTTGACCAAAGACTCAACAGCCTTCCCTTTAATGAAACCACAAAGCTTCAAAATAAGCTCATTCCAATCATCATAACTGATACAAAGATCCATCTTATTACAGAAATGGCTCCAAATAAGATGAGAGAACTCACATTTGAAAAAAAGATGGTCATGGGAATCATTTGTAACTAAACAAAAAGGACATAGCAAATTACCCTTGACTTCCCAGCATTTGACCTGATCCTGAGATTTCAGTTTATTCAAGATAGCCATCCATAAAATAAACGAATTTCTAGGAATGCTATTACCAAACCACACAATATCATATCAAGGAACTGTAACACCAAAGCTATTAATATCCATCCAAACCTGTTTACTTAAAAAATGTTTACTTATCCCATTCTTATCTCTCCAAACAGTAACATCCAACTGATCAGCATTATTACAAAACATAGGACCATCCCTCAATCCTGGAAAATCATTCATCCATTCAACAGGCCACAAATAGTGATCATTAACCATGACATCACTGACCAAATACATATCATTAAACCCTTTACTGACCCATTCCCTTGTAGATATAATAGCACTTAGAATTCCAATAGGATGCCACCAGTCATGCCAAAGTGAAGTATTCATCCCATTTCCAACACAAGACACCACATGTGGCCTAATAGCTTTCCTTACTTCAAGGATCCTTTCCCAAGTCCAATTCATATTCTTTTTCTGCTTAATATCCCAAAAACATCTGTCCCTGATATAATTCCTTCTCACGCATTGGACCCAAAGAGAATTTTTATTTTTAATAACATTCCAAACATGTTTAGCTAAAAGGGCATCATTCCATTTCCTCAAATCCTTCACTCCAAGACCACCATATTCTTTATGCTTACAGATATTGTTCCAACTGGCTTTAGCTTTCCCTTTAACCACTTCCACATTAGCCCAAAGGTAACTTCTACACAGCTTCTCAATCTCCTTGATGGTGGTGACATGAATTTTAAAAATAGAAGCCCAATACACATGAATTGAAGTCAAAACAACATTAATAAGATGCAACCTCCCCGCAAAAGATAAAAATTTGCTTTTCCAGTTAAAAACTCTCATTTTTATTTTCTCAACTAATTGTTTACAATCTCTACAAAATAGCTTCGTAATACACATCGGAACTTCAAGATACTTAAAAGGAAATTTACCAACATCAAACGGGAGGATGCCCAAGATAATTCTTCGCATATTAGGCTTAACACAGCTAAAGAAGATCTGACTTTTGGCCAAGTTAGCATTCAAACCCGACATGTTTTTTGAAATCATCTAGAGACTCCTTTATGACTCTAGAAAAACTACCATTCCCATAACAAAAAACCAACAAATCATCCGCAAAGCATAAATGGGTAATACTTTAGGCTCTACATTTAATGTGAAATTTAAAATTTTGACACCATTCAATCTTCTTCTTAAGAATGATATTAAAAACTTCCATCACAATAGTAAACATGTAAGGAGATAGAGGATCTCCCTGCCTTAGGCCCCTTTTTCCTTCAAAAAATCCATGATCCTCACCATTAAAATTCAACATGAACCACGGAGATGACACACAAGCCATAATCCATTGTGTCATTATCGGATGAAACCCAAACCCCAAGAGAGCCCTATTAAGAAACTTCCAATCCACCGTATCATAAGCCTTCTGGATGTCTATTTTTAAGGCACATTTAGGAGCTCCCATCTTTTTTATATCCCACCATTAAATCCTGGGCAAGAAGAATATTATGTAAGATAGATCTCCCATGAATGAAAGCGCACTGATTCAAATCAACAATATCTCCCAAATAGTTTCTCATTATGTTCACTATAATCTTGCTAATACACTTGTAAATAGTATTGCAACAAGCTATAGGACAGAAATCCGTAAATTTCCTAGGAACATCCACCTTAGGAACCAACATAATTCTCGTAACATTTAGGCCCTTCAACAATTTTCCAGTCCAAAAAAATTCCCTCACAACTTTGCATACTTCCACACCAACAATACTCCAAGTACTCTTAAAAAATTTAGACGAGAAGTCATCTGGACCAGGAGCATGGTTGTCATCTATATCAAACATCGAAACTTTAATCTCATCATCAGTCACCACTCTTATCATATCCATCGCTACCCTCATATCCAACTTTTTACAAAAAAATCCGTCATTTAAAATAGAAGTGTCAGTCACATCTTCAAATCCCAAAAAATTCCTGAAATGATCAACGAATTTCTCTTTCATAGCCTTCTCACTTATCCATCTGCCCTCTTCATCAAACACCATAGATATACGACTTTTATTAACCCTACTATTGACAACTTTATGAAAAAAAATTGGTATTTTTATCCCCTTCCAATAACCAATTTATTTTAGATTGTTGAATAAGGAGCTTTTCTTCATCTTCACAAGCAATATTGTACTCAAAAAGAATATTGCAGTGTTCCTCTCTGATCTTGACATTAAAAGGATCCAAGTCAATATCAGCTTGTTTAGACTCCAGATCCTTCCTCAGCTCTTGAATTCTTATTCCAGAACCCCTATATTTACTGTATAACTCATGACAGTGCTTTTTAAGGATCTTCATTTTCTGAAAAACTTTAAACATGAAAAACCCCTCAATATTAGCACCCCAAATCTCTTTAGCCATAGGTAAAAACTCTTCCTTATCCGTAATAAAATTAGCAAACCTAAAAGAAGGTTTCCATCTAGTTTTACAAACAGAAATATTTAAAATAGCAGGGCAATGATCCGAAATCCTGTAGGGTTTGAACACAGCATGAGCCAAAGAATAATCTTCAATGAATTTCAAATTAGCCATCACCCTGTCTAATTTCTTCAAAAGACCCTTATTACCAGCTGGAGATTTTGTCCAAGTAAATTGAAATCCTGAACAATTTATGTCCTCAACTTCAATATTGTTTATACATTCAATAAAATTTGCAACACCTTCTGGGATTCTGGAACAGTACTTAGAATATTCCGAAAGTTTCAAAGCCACATTAAATCACATAAAATTCCCCATGCATCCTTCTTAACAACCAAACTATGCTTCTCCAAATTATCCCACAACAACCTTCTCTCTATATAACTCGAAGCAACATACACAAAAGACAAGCACATGCTATAGTTAGAATCACAAAATCTAACATAAGAATGAATAAATTGTCTAGATTGTGATATCACCATCACATCGAATAATCTAGGATTCCATCCAACAATTGTTCTAGTGCCAGAAACACAACTACTAGAATTTGAAACCCATTCCCACTGTCCAAAAGTCTTAAGACATACCTTCTTAAGGTTTAAGACCTTCACATGAGACTCCACAACAGCATAAATCCCAAGATTATTGCTCCTAATAACTTCAATAACCTCCTTTTGCTTAATAATTTTATTCATCCCCCTAATATTCCAAACACCAATAGACATTATTGGATAATATTAGAAATTTTGGCATTTACCTCCTCAAATGCCTGAGAATTCTTTCTCTCCCTGCTACTATCCTCCTCAATGCTATTATTTCTCAACATACCATAATTTTCTTTCACCACTTCAACCATCCCATTACTATTAGAAGACCCCAAAATATTCTTAGTCTCTCTAACAGCAAACATAGAAATGTCTTTACTTTCAGCAGCCTTTTGTTCATTAACCTTACCCCCCTTAACATCCTCCTCCATGCAATCCATAACTTCATCACCAATCATTCCCAGAATTTCAAATCTATTTTTATTACTGTTAACATCAACAACTTCAGCATTCTTACTTAAAATCTTTTTAACACCCTCCATATTATTTGTGACCTGTTTAACTTCCCCTGATTACTATTCACCTTATTCCCTTGATTATTAACCTTAACAGGAACAACATTATACTTCTTAAATCTTTGATTTTTTTTCCAAGTTCCAATGACCCACCCCTCTATTGTTCCAATTTCCATTTTGACCCCTTCCATTACCTCCTCTGTTCCCACCATTACCCCTGAAATTGTTTCCCTTATTAGACTTACCATTCTTCCTAATATTCTTTTGTTTATACATATTTGCAGAACCATCTATAGATCTACTAGTACCAACTCCATCAGCACCTCCTTTGACCTTCTTATTAACAACCTCAGTATAACCTTCATCGTCCACCACATCTTTACCCTTATTCTCCTTATTTTTCCCATTATCCAATTCCTTCAATAATTTTTCTTCATTCAAGACTGCCATACAAACCTTATCCATATGCCCATATACCTTACAATGAGAACACCTAGAAGGCATCCAGACATACTCCACAACAAAACTCTAAACAACAGCATAATTTGTTACAAAATCCCATATAAAAATCTCTATTTTCTTCTTCCATTCTTTTTCAGCCGACAATTCAACCAAAATTCTAGCATACGCAATCCTCCCCTTATGTTCTAAGCATATCTCCTCAGTAAAAGAATCAAACGCTAAAGGCACTCCCAACTTACTAGCAATAATACACAGATTTTCCCCACTCCATACTTCCAAAGGCAAATCATATATTTTAATCCATATAAGAATTTTATCATGTCTATTCTTTGTTAGTGTAAGCCCAGGTCTCCAACGCTGTAAAAATATAGGAATATTATTAAACATAAGCCATAGACTTCCTTCCAAAATCGACATCATCCCTTGCTCATCACTGAACTTGAAAAAGAAGAATCCTTTACTATTCATAAAGATCTCCTCCAGCCCCACATTTCTCCACATACGTCTCAGTTCCTTTTGAACAACTGGGAATGCTAACTTCTTGTCAATCATATACCCATATAAAGTATTGGTATAAGGAATACTAGCCTTCTTTAAATTCTCAATCGGAATAACAACAGGCCCATCCTCCTTTCCCACCTCCCCTGGAATAAATTTAACATCAATCTTCCCCATATGCCTTTTACCTTTTAACACTCCTGCATAAGAATTCATTTTGCTCCCCTGTCAAGATCCACCCAATTCCTTATACACTTCAGACAATCCATCTGCAAGATCCTTCTTTCTTTTATTCGCATCACCCAATAAAGAAGGCTCCAAGTTAATAGTGTTAATAACAGTTCCAACCTTCACCTTAGTAGTTGAAACATCATTCACAATGGCTTTACCCTTTCCTTCCACAATAATATCCTCATCTTCACTAGAATCATCAGCAGAATCACCTATAACATTTCCATCCTCATTCCAGTTAGATTGCCTATTCAAGTACGACAAATCACCTTCCACTTCCATATTCATACCACTATGTATCTCCTTCTTATCAGATTCATCTTCCTTCAATTTACTGAGAAATTGAAATCCAACTCCAAGGATAAATTCGTCATTTAGTTTCAGATTCTTATCAACATCCTTGATATTAATCTTATCAATTCCTTCAACCCTAGAATTCTCAACATGACACTCAACAGAATCAGGGCATATAGAAGTAGAATCAACATTCACAGATATAGTAGGATTAACCCTAATCATTTGGCTAGTAACTTGTTTCAATTCCGAATTTGGACTTAAAAATTCCTCATTAACCTTTGAACCATCCCAATTCTTCAATAGATTAGCAGTATTACCTGAAGGAATAGAGACTTCAAAGATCCCAGCAGCCTTCAACTCGCCAGATTCACCAGCCATTGGATCCTTCAGCTTAGAACGATTTTCAGACACCGAAATACTTGCATCCGATTCCCAAGAAGATACTGATTCCGAATCACCCTGAGTATCATCCTCTGAAGCTTCCTCATCATAATACTCCACCACATCCATTGGAATACTATCATCATTTCCTTTATGCCTAGATTTCCTTTCAACATAAACCTTGCCTTCAGAATTCCATTCTGATTTGCCAATACCAGTAGCTACAGCTCCCGAAGCACTTGGCTTCCTTCTAGCTCTATAGATGGTAGCAGAAGATTGCTCAACCACCCCAGGCGGAACAACCTCACTCAAGTCAACTTCCGTCCTAACATATCGAACCGCAACGCTCTTATCAGGAGGCTTCACTTTCACATCCTTCAATCGATGCTTATTAGAAGAAGCACCCATCAGCACACCAAAAATATGAAGAGGAAAATGCTTTTACGATGTAAAGAGGAACATCGGAGAAGCAGCTCCAGCGAAACACGAACTAGATTGCAATACCGTCAGAGAGAATCACGAGAAGAGAGAGAAAGTAGAGAGAGAAAGCGAAAAAGTTCTGGGTCATTGCAGTGTATACAAGTTGTATATAACTTAAGATTAAATAGACCTTCGAATAAGTGACCCTACTCTAAAACCACAACCAAACAAGGAACATGATGTAGTAGGTCACAAATTCTGAGTCTATAAAATCTCAATTATACACAACTCTGGAAGTATACACTCCGCAATCATAGGCTTACTAATAAGGGTCTTTTAATTTTCACATATGTTATTTAATATGCCTAAAATACTTCTATAGTATTTTTAATTGTATGTCAGATTCTAGAGCTTCTTGGTATATGTACTCGGTAAGTTTTAAACTTGTTGTTATCTTATAGTACCATAAAATACTCCTATAGTATTTTAACTTTATGTTTTCTTCTAGATACTCTTTGTATATAGGATTGGTAAGTTTTAGGCTTGTTCCAACACCACGACCATTCCTAGGCATATGCTAATCACATCTCGGTTAAATATAGTTGATCAGGCTATATCCTTCCTAGATCTGATTATATATCTCTAGACCTACTCGTGCTTTCCAATTTCCTAAATACTTGTGTATTGTACTTCTTGTGATACTTGTTCTAATATGTATGCTTGTTTGTATACTTCCCATAAAATATTTATATTTTAAAAGTATACTTTTAGTCAGAGCACTTTGGCCCCATTGTATTTATAGTTGTATATCTTTTAGAGGTTGATATACTTAGTTCACTATAAACAATGCTCTGATACCAATCTGTCACACCCTATCACAACTGGCAAAATTATGTTAAGATGTGAGATCGTGAACAATATAATCTCCTTGTATAAGCCCAAAACCTAACCCCATAAGCTAAGATTTACCCAACTTGGGCCAAGACTCTCTTATTGGACCCTAACGGGCCGATAACATCTCAAATGGGTTCTAATGGGCCGAAATTTTTTATTTAACATTGTTCTGGGCCTATTTGGGTCGTGAACATCTCTTTTATACCATAATGGGCCAAATACCTCTATTAGATAATATGTTGGGCCGAAACCCCCTCTAATGGACCAAAAAAAAGAGAAAGGAAAAACACAAGAGGTTGACACCTTATTAATACATAACATATAACCATGTTATTAACTTGCATACATCTAGGATATAAGTGTAATACCCAACATGTTTCCATGCTTCTCTCCCCCTCTCTTTCCTCTTGAAATCTCGGCCAAGCACTCCCTCACCACCCTCATTTCAAGTTTTCATCCAACTCATTTTCTCTCCTTACTCTCAAGAACATCACCCACTTTCCTCTCCAAAATCGTGATTTGTGTGTGTGTTCTTCAATGAAGATTTCTTCAAGAGTCCTAAACTTGGTAAGTTCATGTCAAACTCCATTGTTTATTTCAAGTTTTTACAAAGATCTTTCTCTTATAACCTCATTTTTGTGTATAAACTCCTTAGAACAACCACCACTTCGAAAGTTCCCTCAAGAAGGCAATCTAGGCTCAAAAATCCTTTTTCTCCTTTATCTACATCACAAAAACCTCAAGGTGAGCTTCATACCCCCATATCTTTCGTATTTTTCATGTTTTCGGGGGAGAATACAAGTCAACTCTCGTTTAACCGTTGGATATTTGCATGTACCATTGTGTTCAGTGTTTAACTTTTGGATCTTTACTTGAACATGAAGTTTATCACTTAGATCTACATAAAAACCATGATAAAAGTATGATTTGTCTTATATATTACATGAAAACTTGTAGATCTGAGATTATACACTCTAAATAGCAAAAACAAGTGTTGTGTTCAAACATCTATAACCTAAACTCAAAAATCAGCTTTTAACAGGAATTTTTTGGTCCAATTACAAACAGTTTTGAACACCTTGATGGTAATATTTTTCAAAACTGTTTTACATGCAAAGATTTCAGGTTATACCTTTAAAATGACTACTCTCACGCGTTCCTACGATTTTACCACAAGTTTTGGCGATTTTTACAAAACTGCCTACCATTTCAGGAATGATTTCGGACAGGTCTGTGAAGATGAACATTTTCACACTGGTTTAAGGCCATTAAAAATCATAATAAAAATTATGAGTAAAGTAGACTCATTTTCCAAACCTTCAAAGTTTACGGATTTGAATTTCGACTTACGATGATTTTTCTATAATTTTTCTAAAAACAGGGACAGAAAGGTCAAAAACAAGAAATTATTTTTATCATGCTAAAAGCTCTTATACATGTTTTAGATGCAAGTTTGTATAACTTATATATATACTTTTAAAACATCTAGACATGTTAACTTATATGTACTTTATATATTATATATATATATATATATATATATATATATATATATATATATATATATATATATATATTATATATATATATATATATATATATATATATTTACGTCCTTATTGGGCCTGGATATAATATACATGTTTAGTGAGCTTTATTGTCCTTTTACATGCTTAGTGGGCCTTAGTGTCCTTTTGCATGTTTAGTGGGCGTTAGTGTCCTTTTACATGTATATTGGGCCCGGGATATATATATATATATATATATATATATATATATATATATATATATATATATATATATATATATATATATATATATATATATATATATATATATACCTTATATGTTCTTCTTGAGCCTAGAAATACTTTACATGCTTAGTGGGCCTTAGTTGTCCACTTACATTTTTATTGCGCCTGGAATATACCTTATATGTTCTTCTTTCTTTTTCAGCGTAAATTTGATTAAGGATCGAGTGAGACGTGACACCTATTTAGTGTACGATCGTAGCCTGTAGTTATAACCAGAGTCTCTTGGAGGGAGAGTGTGAGTTTGTCTATAGATCTATATGGGGGTGACGCCCCACACCTGAGTTGTTCGCTACAGTTAGACTAGGTCAGTCTAGGGTGACAAACCGTACCTTATTCCGCCAGCGTCCCAAAGACGTCATGACAGGCGAAATTGTCATTATCAAGTATGGTTATAGCAGCTCACTTAGTGGAATTACCGTTATAAAATTTATGGGAAACCATTCCCTTTTCTCTTTGGATAAAACGGTAACCTATACGTGCTGGTACTCAACCTTGGGGGTTGAGATTCCAGCATTCTCTTATGCAGACAACATCGGGTTGTCTGGGATCATTCTCTTTCTATTTTCGCAAACATTAACACACATGCATTAACATAAGATCGGACACCAATATTTCAAATCATTTCTTTTTAGAAAATATCGGATTTTCTGGGAATATTCTCTTTACTCTTACAAACAAAAGATAACAAAGGATAGACATGCATATATTCACAATTTTAGAACGAGACTTACAAATTATTTTATAGAAATATCGGATTTTCTGAAAACATTATGAGAACTACTCTAAAACAGTACAAAACCATTTTATACAAAAATACTTATGAACTCACCAACTTTTTAGTTGACGCTTTTCAAAACGACTTGTATTCTCAGGGATCCAGTAGCAGATAATAAGCTCGACTATGAGATCAAGTGGTGCGACTTCAAGAAATTTTACTTTTCTTACTTTTGTGTAACTGATGAACAAATTCAATATGTAAACTATGTAAGTGTGTATTTCCAATGTATGATGTTTGGTTGCTATGTTTCATTCATATTCAATTGTTATGATACTGTACATGAAGTCATCCCCCCCCCCCCCGGACGTTTCCGCCGTCCCGGTTCGGGGGTGTGACAGATTGGTATCAGAGCATTGTTTATAGTGAACTAGTATATCTAACCATACGAGATATACAACTAT